GCAAGCTTAACAAAAGTTTGCTAAGGTGATGAGCTTAATTCGTTCCTTTGAGTGCTACAAGAAGCATGGATGTAAAACTTTCGAAAATAACAGGCTATATTTCCTTGCCCTCTAACCCAAAACGCGATGTAAGTCCCGGCTAAACCCTTAGTGCAATAGAGCAGTCACACAATCACCATCCTGGTAAATATAAGTTAGCAAAGAACATGATCAACACGATTACCAAGTCATCGCAAGCGCCGCACTAAGTCTCGGGCTTCCAAGATTGTGTCAAAGATCTTTTAATCCTGGGGATACTCATATTCATACTCATATACTTATTGATTTTTCTTCAAACGGTACAATAATATCCTAGATTAGGAGGTATATCGTTTCACATTTGATGTCATTTGTAGGCACAGCATGCATGAGTAGAGCTGATTACCCGTCTGCGAACACCGCAGGCATCCCATCCTCAGAAACTTGACTTAGCCCTAGCCACACATTTAACTTGTGGCTGATTTCAAAATCACCGATTAACAGTGTAACAACATGTAGATATAAATTAACTAACACAAAGCCCCTATCCACTTGCGTACGAAGTCGCGGGCACCAGCTAGTTGTAAATAAAACTCTTGTAGTACTCCTTTCACTTACCTATATCAAAGGTAGATATTTATAAAACCCGCCTAAAAAGTTCATTAAAGCATCTGGGACACTTGCTAGAATACTAAATATGCTGAGTTTAAACTTGGGTCTACCTATTTACCATTTGGATGTAGGTGCTCAAAGTAAACCTACCATTCTTGCCACACAAAGCGCCTCGGCCACCCGCCTAACCTAAATTCGCCTTACTCCTAACAAGAAAGGTAAAATAACTCAGATTTAACGGAGCAGAAGATATTATAAGCTACTCGTACTGTATTATGAGAAATGATGAATCGGGAAAAAGTTTAGCTGAGTTTCGACCTTATAGCGTCGAAAAAGCTTTGCGTTGCTGGCTGTTACTCACAATTTGTATTTCATTGCTGCTTTAGATTCCATGACCACTGATATGCAAATAGAAAACTCGGCAATATGGATCGAAATATTGAATTTCGCCGCATTGGCAAATGTGGGAACCACCTCGGGACCCAAGAATGCACTCAAGTGTTTCTTTATGGCAGAACTTGTGCGAATTTTTGAAATATCGATCCAAATTCTGTTAGGAACTTGGAGCATTTAGAAATTGGATGTTATGGTATATGGCCTCATATAAAGTTGAATTTATTAGAATGGTGTTTGTTATTAAAGACAGTTATTAATTTTGTAATGCGCACCTCCACAATAAAGAAACAGACAACGCCTAGGTATGTAACTTGGGACGATAATGTTTAGTTTCGTAGGTTTCAACCCTTTTTTGACACATTTGCTTCAATCGCTCACATAAAAGCAAAAATCATAGCTGAAAAGCTTACAAGAAACGAAAACTACCCCTCTCATTTCGTACCAGCATACCTCACCTCCTTTTGCCGACTTCCCATTACCGTTGCGACAAAGAAAGGAGCCGCGGAAAGGAAAGGAGTGTGCAGTGCATGAACGCGGTATGAACTGTGTGAATAGAAACAAAAGCCCGTGACAAATATTTGTCCCCCGCTGTCCGTCGCACATCCTTTGAAAGTCTGGAAGCGTATTTCTTGACGCTCGTATAACAGACATCAGGTAGGTTTTGGTATACAGGGAGTAACGGAAAGGGTATAACAAGCCGAAAGGAGGTCAAGGTACTCAGGACCTCCTTTCGGCTTGTTATACCCTTTCCGTTACTTGCGGTATATTTTTAAACATGCGTGAATTTGAAGTATAACTTGTCTTGTCGCTTATCGAAAAAATTGTTCAGTTTTTTTAATTTTAACTATTTTTTATGTTTAATTTATTTCTCCCTTCATGTCGCAACGTGATAAAGCATTTTTGGTTTATTCGGCCTCTGAAAACTAAACTTTTCGTTATGTTTTGATACAGAAATAGCTTTTCAAGCAATACTTTTATTGCGTTTAACACTCTTACAAATAGGAAAGATAACTACATCTCTTGAACCGTGAACCCATCGTCGTGTCATAGCCGGGTAAACCTGCGCTTCCAATACCTATACGAACATTCCCCGATACTTCATACTTACCTATGAATGAAACCTCTGTAAGTCTCACTTAAATATTTAATACGAGACTTTTACGTTAAGAAACAAAATTCACTAGTGTCTGGTGTTTATGTCAGAGGCCTGCCTAGATGTAGTAGGTGGTTGTAAAATTCGGACACCAGGTTTCATCTGATCGTTGGTCGACTCGATGTTCAACATGAAGAAAGAAATAGAGCTAATATGTGGTGTTGATTTTACAGCACGAACGGCTAAATCAATCGTTAACTTTTGTGGTTACAATGACGTGATAGAGTACCTACCTACACAAATGAGTGGCTATGTTATTTTTTATTTATTTGTCTAACCACTTTTACACACTTGGATGGTACGTCTTCTCCAATAATAGCTTGATCCATTAGCATCATATCGTACAAGATTCAAAGCCTCTCATGGGTTTAATTCACGGTTTACTTACTAAGCCTTGCCTAAGTAAACAAACAACCAACGTCTTTTTATAATCGCGAAATGAAATTCGTTTTCATACACCCAAAATTAACGATGAATAACGTTTTTTTTGTGCATTTTGAATGCCAGTTGAGCGATATGCTGTTTTAGTGTTATGTAAATTTCGGCATACCTATGCATTGGCTTTACTAGGGATATAAAAGAAAACAATAGAAAATCATGTTAATAAAGACAAAGATTGATTATAGGTAAATGTAGGTAACTAAATGGCCCATTCTCCTAAAGCCATGGAAAATTCTAACTTCCATGTCTTTTTTTAATTTTAGATTTTTTGGAAAATATTATACAGTTTATCAAAGTTTTCTTCATTTCTAAGATAGAATTTAAAAGGCCCGGTTTTCGGACCACTGGTTCAAGAGTTATTTGATGTCCACTATTTGCGAACATGGACGTTAGAGAATTCCGTGGCTTATTTTCTTTATGTAAATAATGAAAAAATTAAAGTGTATTTTAAATATAAAACTAGTAAGTAATGTTGTTTAGAGCTTATACAAGGTATTTTAGTGAAAATATATATAACATATGACTATCAATAACGGAAAAAATGGAAGGCCACTATTTTTTGACATGGAAGTTAGATGTCCACTACTTGGTACGTCGGAAAACTAAACAAAATACGTTTTATTTCTTTATACAAGATGTAAAAAAAATCAACTACAAATACTTTAAGGGGTGAATTAGCCCGTGAAACTGAACAACTTTCCTCGAGGAGCATAGGTCGAGATGTGGAAAACAATTTTGAACCTCCCATACAATTTTGGACTCCCTCGGGCGGCTGCTACAATTTGTATTGTCCCACCATTATTATTATTTTCACATTACGACCTACGTTCCTTCCTACGCCTCATAATATTTGCAGGTGATTTTTTTTCACATTGTATAACGTTTATTTCGTATGTGATATCGGCGGCTCAACAGACAGATATGCTAGTTCCTGCGGTGTGTTATTCAAAACTTTAATACTAAAAATATTTAAAAAAAACTATTAAGAGAAACAATGGCACCAAAGTTTTCGCAAGGCACCTGTCTATTGGGCAGAGCCGGCTGGCTGACAAAGCTGAAGACGGAGGATGGCAGCGTGGTATCCATGCAAAGAGAGGTACTGTGGAGATCAAAATGTTCTGTGGACAGCTGTACACTTCAGTCGCAAAACCTGTTATTAGCTCAACAGACCCTAGAGCAAAGCTTACCGACAACAGTGTCTAGACCTCGGTATAGACCGAGGATGACCGGATATCAGCTTGTACGAGATTAAGATAGCCCTTGAACAGCTCAAAAACAACAACGTGCCGGGCGAGGACGGAATCATATCAGAGCTACTAAAAGCGGGTGAAACACCAGTACTTAAAGTCTTTCAGAATCTCTTTTACTTTGTCTTGTTAGGAGGTGTGACGCCAGAAGTATGAAACAGAAGCGATATTATATACTACAGGTATATCGAAGTGTTGAAATATTCATAAACGAAGAAAGAAACGCCACAATGTCAGTTCGAATACAAGATCAGACCACAGCGGCAAGTCCATTGCACAGGGGTGTAAGACAAGGAGATATATTATCTCAGAAGCTCTTCACCAATGCGATGGAAGATGCCTTGAAGCTCCTGGAATGGGATGAACTTAACATCAATAACAATAGCGAAAACATCACTTAGCAAAATGCTACAGGACTTTAATCGAGGTTTCCCAACAAGTGGACCTCAAGTTGAATATGGACACGACGAAAGTCATGGCCAACTCTCATGTAACGCCCACCCCAATATCGGTAGACACTCAAAGTGGTGGACAAATACGTCTGTCTAGGACAAACAGTCCAACTAGGAAGATCTTGAGAAGGAAGTCACTCGGCGAATCCAGCTCGGCTGGGCACCTCCGGTAAGTAACGCAGCGTCTTCACGTCCAAAATTCCTCGCTGTCTCGAGACGAAAGTTTTTGAACAGTGTGTCATGCCAGTGATAACCTACGGTGCGCAGACATGGTAGCTAACTGTCGGCCTCCTAAATAGAGTAGGAGTCACTCAGTGAGCTATGGAGAGCTATGCTCGGTGTTTCTCTTCGTGATCGAATCAGAAACGAGAAGATCCGTAGACGAACTAAGGTAACCAACATAGCTAAAAGAGTCAGCAAGCTGAAGTGCCAATGAGCAGGCTACAATACTCGAAGGACTTATAATCGGTGGAGGAGCGGCGGCCCGCGGCAGGGAAATGCCGGATACAGGCCGCTTCTAATCGGTCAAGGTGGAAGTATTTAGTGGAGTCCGATGTTCAGTAGTATACGTCCTATGGCTAATTATGATGTCGATGACATAAAAAGTATGAATTATTTTGGAAAACTTGCAAACGCGATAGTGGACAAGATATATTTGCTAAATTCGCAGGCTCGATTAGAACCGCGGTAGCCCAGTTGGTAGTGGCGTCAGCAGTACAGAAGGCCGTAGGTTCAAATCCTACCTGCGGTGGAAAATTTGCAAGTTTTCCTAAAATTGTAGGCATACCTAACACGTGTTTTAAAATTTGGTATTCAAGTATGGATTACTTTCACAAAATTTTCCATTAAGACACGCATTGGATTAAATTAAGAAAAATATATATCATTTAAAATCTTTGTCCAACAGTGGGGCCAAAAATTTAATCATTCTCTAACGTCCATGTCATTTTGTAACGTCCATGTCACCGCGAAACATGGAAAGATATGGAAAAAAGGACATGGACGTTAGAACGAAAGTTTATTTTGCGGTTTACGAAAAAACTATAAGACCATACTTTTTACAATACCGCCTCTTGTTTTAAGCATAACAAAGGTATCAACCAGAAAAATATCAGTATTTCCCGATAACTGAATACTTAGTTATCGATGAGCATGGAAGTTAGGTGGGTACTGAACCAAATCGTAAATGTGGAAATTACCTTCGCCAGCAAAAATGCAGCAGCGAGGCACGTGCTTCTTTTACGATATTGTCGGCTGTACTATCCGCTACTCATGTGTAAATAAACTAGACAGATAGCTTTCACCGTAACGAAAATATGAATGAGAAGGTAGCGCGAGGAAATTTTAGCCTGAATCAGGCTTCAACGCTAAAAACCATGTTTAAAAATAAATTCTGGCGTCTTTTACTTTTAAAAACATCTCGCAAGATAGAAAATATAACTAGTTAGAAGATAAGAATGATTAACATGATATTACCCTGATATTTTAGGATCTATAACAGTTTATCTGTCACAAAGTAGCAAAGTTCCTCGCCATGGACGTTAGAGAATGAATGTTTGACAGGAATTTTACAAAAAACTGTCAATATATTTGAGTATTTAAATGTATGACCATGTGTAAGACAAACTGAAGTATTTTATAAAAAAAAATTATAACCCTCTTCCCACAGGAAGCTGCACTTTTTCAGCGGAATGTGTAAAAAATGCGGGCGATGAGAATGTACCAAATATATTGAAGTTGTTTGACAGGGACCAGACTGGTAAGCCTTTCCGGGGTTATTGACTGAGTTTTGCGAATGGGTTTGCTGTCCCTAGTCGAATCTCGCCAAAACCCATTCGAAAGGCTTTTTAAAGCGCTATTGTAAGGCTATCGAAATTCTTGCGAAACCCCTTCAAACCACTAACCATATTGAAAGGGTAACCCTTTCGGCTTTCACTTAAATTTAATCCCTAAAGTGTGACTCATACGGACTATTATTGCTCGCGCACCACAAGACGGCGAGCTGGTCCGTTAAAGCTCCGAAGTTGCCGCGAAGCCGCATTTTGCTCAACTTGCGAATGATTTCATCAGGGACCAGACTGGTAAGCCTTTCCGGGGTTATTGATTGGGTTTTGCGAATGGGTTTGCTGTCCCTAGTCGAATCTCGCCAAAACCCATTCGAAAGGCTTTTTAAAGCGCTATTGTAAGGCTATCGAAATCCTTGCGAAACCCCTTCAAACCACTAACCATATTGAAAGGGTTACCCTTTCGGCTTTCACATAAATTTAATCCCTAAAGTGTGACTTATACGGACTATTATTGCTCGCGCACCACAAGACGGCGAGCGGGTCCGTCAAAGCTCCGAAGTTGCCGCGAAGCCGCATTTTGCTCAACTTGCGAATGATTTCATTGTAGTGCGTGCGCACGAAACCCCTATGAAGCGCTTTTTAAAGGGTTTTAGCAAAGGGTTACCCTTTCGATAAACTTAAAGCAAATGAATGGGTTATCAGTTGAAGTGGTAAGTCGTTTAACTGGGAGTGTTGAATCATTGGGTTTAAAAATTAAGCGCTTCGTCGATAAAGCGCTTAGCGGGTCCCTGGATTTCATTGTAGTGCGTGCGCACGAAACCCCTATGAAGCGCTTTTTAAAGGGTTTTAGCAAGGGATTACCCTTTCGATAAACTTAAAGCAAATGAATGGGTTACCAGTTGAAGTGGTAAGTCGTTTAACTGGGAGTGTTGAATCACGGGGTTTAAAAATTAAGCGCTTCATCGATAAAACGCTTAGCGGGTCCCTGGTTTGACCGTGGAAAGTCCCCAAATTGTATTGAAATTCAAACATTATTAATCCTTGCGTACACAAATCTAAGATCGACATTGTCAAACGTGCCTTATCGGCCCCCAAGGTCCCGGCGTGAATCTGGGAGCCACCGTCGATAATTTCCACCTAATTGATCATGTCAACTCCCCAGCGACAGCGCCAGGTGATCCATCAATAATGCCCATTATTTTCAACGAAAATTCTACGCAAGCTCCACAGAGTAGACGTGAGACGTAAGACGCTAGCTACATAGAGTAGACGTGAGACGTCTGATGACATCTGTCAGACAAGTGATCGTCAGCCGTCATCGATGCAAGGCGCGTCTCACGTGTGTGGCTTTTGCTCATCTGTTTCATATAGATATTTTATATGGAAACGGCTTCAACGTCTGACGTCTTTCATCAAATGTGTGGAGCTAGAGCCTGAGATAAACTTTTGAATATAATGATATCTACTATACATTAGAAATAAGTGTGCCAAATTTCAAGTCTCTGGCTCTAAGGGTCCGGCCGGCACGTCGATACCAAACTGTCATCCCCCTCTTTTACCCAAATCTGAGATCTACATTGTCAAACGTGCCTTATCAGCCCCCAAGGTCCCGGCGTGAATCTGGGAGCCGCCGTCGATAATTTTCACCTAATTGATCATGTCAACTCCCTGGCGACAGCGCCAGGTGATCCATCAATAATGACCATTATTTTCAACGAAAATTCTACGCAAGCTCCACAGAGTAGTCGTGAGACAAAGACGCTAGCTACATAGAGTAGACGTGAGACGTCAGTTGACGAGCCGCGTTTAGAGTGGGAACACAAATTGTTATACAAAAGAGAAAATTTTGCACTATATATTTTCTCTTTTTTAAGTTTGAATTAGAGTGTGACTGTAAATTCCTGCTGAGAAATAAAACTTTTTGATTTTTGATTGATTTCTGTCAGACAAATGACAGAAAATGATCGACAGCCGTTATCGATGCAAGGCGCGTCTCACGTGTGTGGCTTTGGCTCATCTGTTTCATATATTTTATACCTAATGGAAACGGCTTCAAAGTCTCATGTCTTTCATCAAATGTATGGAGCTGAGCCTGAGATAAACTTTTGAATATAATGATATCTACTATACATTAGAAATAAGTGTGTCAAATTTCAAGTCTCTGGCTCTAAGGGTCCGGCCGGCACGTCGATACCAAACTGTCATCCCCCTCTTTTACCCAAATCTAAGATCTACATTGTCAAACGTGCCTTATCGGCCCCCAAGGTCCCGGCGTGAATCTGGGAGCCGCCGTCGATAATTTCCACCTAATTGATCATGTCAACTCCCCAGCGACAGCGCCAGGTGATCCATCAATAATGCCCATTATTTTCAACGAAAATTCTACGGCGCAAGCTCCACAGAGTAGACGTGTGACGAGAGACGTAAGGCGCTACTAGCCGTTTCACAAAAGAAAGGGAATATAAACGTCGGCGGTTACATAAGAGGGAGGAAGAAAGCATGAACGCCCTTTGCATGTAAGAGCCTTAGTTCGAGTGAGAAAGCATGAACTCCGGCCGCTATATATATTCCCTTTCTTTTGTGAAACGGGTAGTAGCTCCACAGAGTAGACGTGATACGTAAGATGACATCTGTCAGACAAGTGATCGTCAGCCGTCATCGATGCAAGGCGCGTTTAATGTGTGTGGCTTTGGCTCATATGTTTTATATGGAAACGGCTTCAACGTCTCATGTCTGACATCAAATCGTCTCTCGCATCACTAACTGCCTTAACTGACATAAAGGAAGTAACTGAGCTAAGACTACCTACGTATATGATTTTTTATGCTTTATTATGTCATCAAGTGTCGCACCTCTCAGTATTACCGTTCTTGAGATATACATATTTAGAAATGTCGCATCTACAGAAACAATTCATTTTTATTTTTACTAAATGACGTAAGTATCATACGACTATTAGAAATGATAAAAAAATATTTTGATTTTCTTTTATCAGAGACGTATGTAACTTAAGTCATTTAGTGGTGTAATATTATTTCAGTTCAAAGCATTTGAGACTATTTAAAATAAGTTTACTATGCAAAACCAGTTGTTATCTACCAAGTCTTAGGGATCATTACATGATTTACCGTCAATAACCTAGGTTTCTTTAAGGGATTTTGCCATTTTATACTACAGGCCACAGGTACAATACAGAAAAAGGAAGAAAATATTTAATTTTTTTGTTGTTTTATAGGGAATACCAATAAAAGTGATAAGATAAGGTACCTATACTGAGACATTATTGAACTACCTTCAAATTATAATTAAACTAGTTTCGATATTCCTATTTCAAAGTAAAGCTAAAGGAATTCAAAAAGGAATATGTTTCAATTACACATCCAATGGAATAGATACGTGCTCACTGGATTAGACAGTGTATATGAGAAATATAGAAAAATAATCAACAAATGTCGTCGCAATAAATGAATTATTTATGAAACAAATCTTCTCAAGGCAGGGCCGAAGAAATTCAACTCCTACATCTGACAGCAAGTGACGTCCGAAGTCAGCATACCCACAGTGCTGCATAATAAATAACCAAGGTTAAACTGTGGCTTGCGGACCAATTTGAAGGTGTATTCGAAATGGAACCATCTGGACCCTTGCCTATCTTAGACCCTAGCCTACGTATAGAACCATCTATAACAGAACTAACTTATACAAGCACCAGAGTAGGACAAGCTATCAAAGAAATAAAAACTGACTCATCGACTGGACCCGACGAAATTCCTGCAATATTACTTCAGAAATGTAATCTAATTGATGTTCTTGTAGATATCATGCAAATCTCATATGATACTGGAATGTTGCCACCACTGTAGAAGACAGCAAAAACCCATATTCAAAAATCAGACAAATTGGACCCTGCTAACTACAGACCAATTAGCCTAACAAGCGTCATATGTAAGGTCATGGAAAAGGT